CTTTATAGAATCCAGAAGAGCAGAAAAACCTGGAACACATTATGCACCTTTTACAGAAATAAAATCCAAACGTGCTGTGTCAATTTCCCACGGACGCCAAATCCTCATTTTATTTTCAGAAACACGAGGGATGTTTGGCTAAATACCCAGCCCACCACGAAAATAGGGTGCACTGCGCATGTGCCATAAAGCACGTTCGGTCTCCTGGGCTTCCTTGCCCTAAGTTTCTACTGCCTTGCCCCACAGTGGAATTCCAGGGCCCACATCCTAGATCGCAGGAGGTTTTCGCGTTTCCTTCTTTGCAAAGCCCTGAATTCCTGGCATGTACTAAATGGGGGGAGGAGAGAATCCTTCAGGATAAGTGACTTACAAAAAAGACTTGCACTAAAACAAGCATTTTCTGAACAGGAAGAACAACAGACCAAAGCGAAGCCCCCAGATGGTTTCGTTTGCTGAGCGGGGTGCCTTTGTTCTGCACGGTGCTTCCTGAGTGTGGTGCTCTTTTCGTTAATTTGGATTTGAACCAAACTGGATTTTTGTCCTGAGAGCCAAGCCCCAGGGTGAGGAAGTTGCAGTTAGAAACAAAAATAAGAGGCAAGCATTGAGTAAAACATGAAAACTTTTTTTTTTTTTAAAGAAAAAATTTAAGATGGAGTGTCACTTTATAGCTCTGGCTGGCCTGGAACTCACTATGTAGACCAGGTTGGATTCAAACTCACTGGGATCCACCTGCCTGTGGCCCCGAAGTACCGGGATCAAAGGCATGCATGCGATGCGCACCTGGCCCGGTGTGACTCCTCTTGACACCGATTTTCATTAAGTCCTTTGGGAGCAGAGGCTCATTTTTTTCCTTCTCTACCCAATGAAGAACCTGAATCTTAAGTAGCAGTCATCACCTGATGGCCCGTTGACTCCCACGCCTGTGCCTGTAATCACCATAAGAAACCTGTTTTTTTCTTTTAATTAGGAGACTTGGTAAGGATTTATTTGCTTTAAAATTGTAAGAAATTTCTAGGGTAAATGCCATGGCTGCCAGGCATGGTATGAAAGGGAACAAACTGCCTTATGCACTTAGGCATGCTAAGCACCACGCAGCTACAGGGGGAGCTGTTGTAGTTAATAGACCGGTGTCCTTGGAGCTGGGCTGGGCACGGCACAGGGGCTTTGGATGAGCACAGCCTTTGAGGTTCCAATGAGCTCCTGTCAATTTGACCCTGGCTTTTGGGGTAACCAAGCAACACAAAGGGGTGATTATCCTGCAGAGATAGCTGCTACCTCCGTGGCTATTATAGTGGTTATGAACACACATTTGTGAGTGCCTTAGCAAGAAGGCCACTTTTCTCAGTGTTTCTCCTGTGGGAAGAACACTGACCTATAACCTTTTGTTTCTGAGCCTCTATATTCAGGTGTGCCCAAGAGCTCAGTCCCTGGGCATCTTCACTACCTCCATTCATCCTCAAGGTGGCGTTACAGAGGCTCAAGAAACAAATGCTGTCCGATTCCACCTCCATTCCTTCCTCTAGCTCCAGACTGCATGCCCATGGTGACATCTCCACTTACAACTAATCGATGCGTGGAAGTTACAGGATCGAAGGCCCCCGGGATGGAACTCTTGCTTTCTTTGTCTCTTCTGCTTCTTTCCCTCCTGTGCCCATTTCTTCCCATGATTGCAGGCTTGGCATTTCCTCTGCTATGTCCTTACCATTTCTTCTCCATCCTGTAGAAGACACTACCATCCACCCAAGTGACACAGTCCAAAGCTGACAAGTCACCCCTAACCCCCTTTTCAGGGGCAATTTGCCACTCTGGTATCAACTGTGGCATTCAACATCCATCCTCGTTGTGGTCTCCTCTCCACACATCCACCTGTCACCTTGTTTTGTGCGCTGATTATCATGTGTTTTCTCTAAGTTTTTATTTTTGAGAATTTCCTATGTGTATACAGTGAAATATGAACATATCTACTCCCCATTTGCTCCCTTCAACTCCCCCCATGTCCCAATGAGACAGCCCTCCCAACCTCATATCCTTTTCTTCCTTCCATCCCTCCCTCCTTCTCTCCCTCTTCCTTCCTTTCCTTATCCACTAAGTTCAGTTAGTCGTATGCACATAGGTGTGGTTCGGCAGCACAGGAAATCTACCAGTGGGCATATGCTCAAACAAGAATGGCTCTCCCCTGCAACAACTCCCCACCGCCAAAAACTTCAGTAAGGGGTGGGCCTGGAGGTCCTTCTCTGTCTATGCTGGGATTTTGGCTGGCTTGGACTTGTGGTCTTGTGCCATGAATTCACGGTTATAATAGCCAATCATCAGATGATAGCACCCCACAGCACCTCTGCGTCCTCTGGCTCTTACATTCTTTCTGTCTCCTCTTCCATGATATTTCCTGAGCCTTGGTGGTGGTGGAGCTAATACAGATACCTCATTTAGGACTGATCACCCAATCTTCTAGTCTCAGTCCTTTGAGCAGTGATGCATCTCTGCACTGACTGCTATCTACTGTACAAAGAAGCGTCTCTGACCAAGGCTGAGAGCAGCCCAGGTCTATTGGTGTAAGCTTTCTCCGGGTCTATTGGTGTAAGATGTCTCCGGGTCTATTGGTGTAAGCTGTCTCTAGGTCTATTGGTGTAAGCAGTCTCCAGGTCTATTGGTGTAAGATGTCTCCAGGTCTATTGGTGTAAGCTGTCTCCAGGTCTATTGGTGTAAGCTATCTCCGGGTCTATTGGTGTAAGCTGTCTCCGGGTCTATTGGTGTAAGATGTCTCCGGGTCTATTGGTGTAAGCTGTCTCTGGGTCTATTGGTGTAAGATGTCTCCAGGTCTATTGGTAGAAGATGTCTCTAGGTCTATTGGAGTAAGCTGTCAGCACCAAGAATCAGATAGGTCAAGTCTTGAGTTATATTTTTTATTCACCCAGTACTATATTCACCAATATTTATGTTCCAGACTTCATAGGTAGAAACTGACCCCCATGGTGATGGTAGAGAGGTGACTAGGTAATGAGAGGGGGTCCATCAGGAATGGGACTAGCACTCCCAAAAAAGCACTCCCAGAGAGCTGATTACCCTCCTACGTCTTAAAGATTTAGTGAGAAGATGGCCACCTATGAACCAGACACCAAGTCTGCCAGCACCTTGACCTCAGATTTTCTAGCCTCCAGAAACACGAGAAATAACTGTCTGTTGTTTCTAAGCACCCAGGCTATGGTAGTTTGATGTAGAACTCAAATGGACTGGAAGAGAAAGAGAAGTTTGTTTCCAGGAAATAGGTTCTAGTTTTTGTTTTGTTTAAAAAACAAACCATGTCTTCATGGGTGGGTCCTGATATTCAAGTATTTATGGCTTACAGTGTCAAGTCATTATGAACAGTTAATCCTAGTCCTGCCTGAGCACAAGCATCCTGAAGGATTCTGTCTCTTCTCCCACCATCTACTTCAAAGCCATCCACCCTCTAATTTTACCCATAAACATCCTACTAATACTGCCCTTCATAAGGCAGTGACCTTCTAATTTCCAAATCCAGAGGATTTTCTCTACTCCTGGCTCTGTGGTGCCTCCCTGCTCATGGGAAATTGCTAGTCATTCCTCCCACTGTGGGTCCTACAGCCCCTGCACGGATTACATGTTCTGTCTGACAGGAGACGAGATCCATCTGATGATTCTCCTCTCTTCTTTCTCTCCCTTTCTTTTCATCCCTCACCAATGCTTTTCAAGCTACTTTTTAAAAGACACTTGAAAAATATGTCAGCACCATGGGAAAGAAAAAAACCGTACTCATGAACATGCAAGGAGTAATGTCGGGTGGTTTCCTCCACTCTGTTTTCTTGTTCGGGCATGCTGGCCACTCCTTAAACAGCAAGCATTCTTCCAAACCCCAATACTGTATGCCCAATTTAACTAAAAAATGTATCTGTCTGTCCCAAAGCACCTTTGTTACGCTCAGTGTGTCAGAAAGTGACCCGAATAACCTCCCAGTCTCTGTTCTTTCTTTTCCAAGATAGCCCATCTCATGATAACAATCAATTCCCAGTCATCGAGGAGGGAGAGATGGCTCTTCCCTGCCTTCCCACTTCCACTTCTTTGGTGCTTGCATCCTAATATCATTCCAGGATTGCTGGAGGAGCCGCTATTCGGCCTTCCTGTCTCTTCCAGCCCATCCTCTACACTGCAACAGAATACACCTTCATCATCTCTGAGTGAACTCCACTGCTTATGACAATACTTCACCAAGCGAGTCTCAATGAATGGGAGTATTTGCATGGTTAATGCAATTGAAGAAAAACGTAGAAGTTGTGTTTATATTATTATATTATATAGATTATATATAATATATTATTGTATTTCAGAATCTCCACTATGCTAAAATACATTTTGAAGCTTCACATGCAATAGAGGAGATAAAGTCATGGTCAAATTATTAAGAGAAACTCTTTTTAAAAGTCTAGTATAAGGGTTGGGGATTTAGCTCAGTGGTAGAGTGCTTGCCTAGCAAGTGCAGGGCCCTGGGTTCGGTCCTCAGCCCTGAAAAAACAAACAAACACATAAAAGTCTAATGTGCCTTTAAATTTTAAAAAAAAATTTCAACTGGATGCGACTGGTCTGTGCACTAAACTTTCACTTTCTCGCCTTCGCCGTCTTCCAGCCGCAGCAGCTGCTGAGGGGTGATTCAGTAATGAGGACAGTGTAGAGAAGACATGGGTAGAAGCCGCATGCTTTACATCCCGCACAGGACGTGGGTCTGCTGACTAAATTCTCAGGACTCGTGTGGACAGGCGAGGCTAACCTCAGGAGGCTAACCTCTGGGCTGAGTATCCCAACCTCCCTTGTCCTCCAGTTCCAGTTGGGTTTGAACAATGGAAAGCAGAGATGGAAGACAAGAAGGGTCATTGTTCACTTCCAGCCCATCTCCCTGTGTTGCAACCAGGCTGTATACGGCTCTAAGTTACTTCATATCATACAAAAGTGTTTTGTTGTTTTGTTTTGTTTTTTGTTTTGTTTTTCAGGCCACGAGACTTCGTTTTACAAACAGCGTTTGACTCCATTTTGAGTGCAAACACAGTGCACGGATGACGCTGTACCTTGGTGGGCACGTGCACGTTACCATCTGTTCAGCACCACACACGTGAGGTACAGGGATAATGGTTTCACACCGTGTGATGACTGTTCTTGGTTGTCAATTTGACATTTCTAGGAGGAAGGAACCTCAATTGAGAAATTGCCTCCATCAGATTGGCCTATGGGCATGTCTAGGGGATGTTTTCTTGATTGCTTACTGATGTGGGGGGCCCCATCCCACTGAGGGTGGTGCCACCTCTGGGCAGATGGTCCTGGGTGGTATAAGGTAGCTAGCTGAGCAGAAACAGGGAGCAAACTAGAAGCAGCACTTCCCCACGGCCTTTGCCTCAGCTCCCCCTCCAGGTTCCTTCCTGACTCTGACTCCAGTGAGTGATGGCCTGTGATGTGAAGGTGTAAGCCAAGCAAACTCTTTCGGTCGGTGTTTGAGCACAGCAACAGAAGGCTGACTAGGACATCCTATATGTTTATCAAAGTAAGGCTGGAGAGATGGCTCAATGGTTATAAGTTCCTATTGCTCTTGAAGAGGATCCAGGTTCAAGACCCAGCACCCCACATCAGGCAGCCCACAACCATCTGTAACTCCAGTTCCAGGAGGTCCATTGCCTCTGACCTCTGACAGCACCTGCATGCATTTGGTACACATTGCTTCACACCCATACATATAGATAAATGTTTTAAAAAATTATCAAAGTAAATTCGGAATATGGGAACACACAGGCATATTTAAGTCACACCAGAAAATCCAGACTTGAGAATTTGCCAAGCAGACTAGGCTGAGAAAAGGGTGAAACCATTTCTCATGGCCCCTATAAAGAAGACCCCTAATCACTGACCTGTCCCCTGTCATCTGCTATACATGTATCAAAGAATCTACAGGCAGAGAATTTTTGACCGTCCCAGAGTGACAACTCAGCTTGTTCCCTGGAGTTGTCATGGCGAACTGGTGTCTGTCCATCCACTCCTTTGTCCATCTAGACCTGGTTCTGCACATCGCCTCTATGGCCTCCACCTCCACTTTGCCTGGGCAGCTCTACTGAGATTTAGTGACCATACCTACTGGTTTGCTAGTATCTAACCGCCTGTGTGATCTCTTTGCTTCTATATCAACCCTTGCTGAGTAAGACTTCTTCAGAAATTCCTTGAACTCTGTTGCAAACCCTAACCCTTATAGCCATTCTGTGTGTGTGTGTGTGTGTTATTCTTTATGTATGTTATTATTATTTATAAGTTATTTTACTGTAAATATAAAATATTTCTATATCATTTTATTATGTACATTAGTATATATTTTATTATTTTTATATATTTTATGTATATTTTATATTTATACACAATACACTATTTATATACTTTATAATATATAATATAGAATTGTATAGAGTATATGATAATACATTATTTTTATATGTTATTATATATGATATTAGTATAATACATATATATTATTACTCTCTATATATTACAGAATATATGTATTACAGAATAGTTATATATTACTCTTCATGTGTGTGTATATGTCTACATACACATGCATAAACACATTGTGTGATGAGAGAACTAATATTAGTAGTTAAGATTGGAATCAAAGCCGGGTGTGGTGGCACATACTTTTAACCCCAGCACTCGGGAGGCAGAGGCAGGTGGATCTCAGTGAGTTAGAGGCCAGCCTGGTCTACAGAGTGAGTTCCAGGACAGCCAAAGCTACACAGAGAAATCATGTCTTCGGAGGGGGTGGGGAAGATTGGAATAAAAGACAAAACAAAACCTGTGTTTGCTTTGGGCAGCCATCAAGGAAAATACAGACCACTCAGCAAATTGTAGTCAACAAAACCTGTGTAGCTTGTGAAATTATTGTTAGTCAATCAATTCTGACATTGTGGGAAGACACACGTGTGTCCATCTTTGTTTCTGACAATGTGCTCCCCTTCCTGGCTCCAGCTCTTGTCTGGCTTGAGTGACTCTCACCTCTCTCTTCCACTCTAGTCTCAGCCATGATAACTGCTTCCGTCTGTCACTAACCCCAGAGGGGACTCATCAACTCTTGCTGGTGTTCATGGCTCTGTTCACACCTCTGTCAATAGTTACTCCTTCACTTGAATCCTCTCCAGACGCCATCTGTTTCCTGCTGGATCCCTGCTGGATCCCTGCTGGATCCCTGCTGGATCAGGGTTAGCTCCTTACAAAATGGGGATCACAACACCTAGGTCAGCTGAGAACACTCAGTGAGAACCCCTGAGGCTCAAACCCTGGGCACAGTGCTGGCCACCAGCGATGTTTCCCGAGTGGCAGGCTGCCTGGTGCACCTGTCGTCAAGCAGTCTTTCTGCTCCTTCACCCTGACTCAGGTAGACAGGGAAATCATGCCAAGTCTAGCATGATGAAGAGAAAAGGCTGCCATGGGGATGGAGAACAGGGCTGACCTGCAGGTCCCATTCTAGGGCCCCAGAACAGAGAGTCCTAACAAGGACTGGAACAGCTGAGGACAGGGCATCCGTGGGCTTGGCATTCCACTGGAAGAAAGCTGCCTCTGTGTGGGGCCCAGCTGCTCCGTCCCCCACACTGACCCCTTGTTTCCCAAGGAGGAAATCCTTTCAGTTCCCCTCAGTTCCCGTTATTAAACCCCAGCGGCCTGGGGCGGAAGGGTTGCTTGGAAAGAGAGGTCATTTGAACTGGATTTTCAGTTCGCGCATAACTTAGGGAAACTCGTGAGGGGTGGTGTCCTGGTTTAATTTTTGTTACTGTGATAAAATACGCTGACAGAAGGCAAGTAGGGGAGAAAAGGTTCACTTAGTTTACAATTCCAGGTTGCAGCTCATCACCACGGCAAAGCCCAGGTAGGATCTTCCAGCAGCCAGTCACATCGCTTTGTCAAGAACGGAGAGAAATGAGTGCATACATGGGACCTGCTTGCTTGGGTTCATCTCAATTTCCCCACTCCGACACAGTTCAGGACCCCATGCCTAGGGAATGGTACTGCCAACAGTGGACTGGGTCTTCTCACATCAGTTATTTTAAGTAAGACAATCCCCCACTGATAAGTTCCCAGGACAACTTGATATAGACAATTCTTTCCTCTGGTGATTCAAGGCTGTTTCAAGTTGAAAAAGCTAACCATCACAGATGGTAATAGAAATGATATTTTAAGAGAATATGCAGGTAGGTGAACTATTTACTGATAATCACTTGCACTTTACTCATACGGGGAGGTCTCCTAAGGGAAATCAATGTTTTGGCATATTGAATAAGATAAACTAAACTGTGGCTTTGTGGTGGTTTGAATGAGAACAGTCTCCATAGGCTCATATATTTGAATGCTTGGCTGCTGTGGGATGTTGTGTATGTTAAATGTGTTGCTCTGATTGGTTAATAAATAAAACACTGATTGGCCAGTATGGTGATATTTTATTTGTATTAAAATGTTATTTGTATGTTAATAAATAAAGTTGCCTGGGGGTCAGAGCTATTAGCAAGCCATAGGAAAGCAGGGCAGTGGTGGCATACTCTTGTAATCCCAGCACTTGGTAGGCAGAGCTGGGTAAGTCTCTGTGTGTTCAGGGATACAGCCATTATTGGATACACATGCCTTTAATCAATACCAATCATGGAAAACCTGGAGGCCTATACAGACAGGCCGTTGTGAGGAGGCGGTCATGTGGTTGGGTTTACAACCAATGAGAAGGCAGAACAGGAACTCTATATAAAGACTTTAACACAGGGGTAGCTCTGGTTCGGAGAGGTAGGACCACCGCAGGAGGAAGGGTAAGGTTTTAGCTCTTAGCTCTGACCTCTTGGCTTTCTTCTTTGCATTGGTTCTGTGTTTCTTATTTAATAAGAAGGTTGGTTACATCTACAGGCCAGTAGCCAGGCAGGAAGTATAGGTGGGACAAGGAGAGAGGAGAATTCTGGGAAGTGGAAGGCTGAGGCAGGGAGACCCTGCTAGCCACCATGAGGAGAAGCATGATGTAAGGTACCAGTAAGCCATGAGCCATGTGGCAACTTATAGACTAATAGACATGGGTTAATTTAAGATATAAGAACAGTTAGCAAGAAGCCTGCCACGGCCATACAGTTTGTAAGCAATATAAGTCTCTGTGTTTACTTGGTTGAGTCTGAGCAGCTGTGAGACTGGGGGGTGAGAGAGATTTGTCCTGACCGTGGGCCAGGCAAGACTGGACATAACTCCAGCTACACTTGTCCCCTAGTTTGTGGAACTGTTTGGGAAGGATTAGGAGGTGTGGCCTTGTTGGAGAAGGTGTGCCAGTGGGGATGGACACAGGAAAGGAAAGGGAGCTGGCAAGAAAGGTGAGACACTGCCTGGAACGTGAACACAGATGCCTTCATGGCTCTTTACTTTGGCTCTAGACTTTCCCAGGTAGGGATGATACCCTGGGAACCATAAAGCAACCCCAATTGTAAAGACATGGGATTCCCCAATTCACAGCCGTCCACATTGGATTCCATCCTTGATAACCCAGAAGAAACACAAACTTGAGTGCATGGTGCTGGAAAAGAGGTTGTAGTAGACCAGCCACAAAATTAAATGTCTTTGTCCCTCAAGCCACCCTGCTCGACTCTCTGTGGCATGCTAAAGAGGCTGGAACACAGCTTGGAAACTTATTTCAAGAACTGCAGAGATGGAAGTAAATCTTTTTTTCCTCTTTTTTTTTTTTGAATTAAGAAAATTTTTTTTATTCATTTTAATGGAAGTGTCCAGGAAGAAGAAGAAGAGGGAGAGAGAATACTTGGATGTCTCTTCTTTTCTTTCTTTTTTTTTTTTTTGGTTTTTCGAGACAGGGTTTCTCTGTGTAGCTTTGCACCTTTCCTGGATCTCACTCTGTAGCCCAGGCTGGCCTCGAACTCACAGAGATCCACCTGCCTCTGCCTCCCGAGTGCTGGGATTAAAGGCGTGCGCCACCACCGCCCGGCCAGATGTCTCTTCTTATGGAGACACTAATCACATCAGGAATGCCCCAGGTTTTTATGACTTCATCTAGCTCCCTCCTGAAGACTATGCTCCAGATGGTACTAAGTAGTGTTCAATTATTCTTGGAC